TAAAGAAGGTGTTTGGGTGCCTCACGAACTCTCCAACTCTCCAATGATCATCGTTTCCAACATGTGAACATTGCTTGTTGTCTTCTGGCGCGTGAACCATTTTTGGACAGAATTGTCCCCGGTAATGGAAAATGGTTTCTCTATACGAATATTAAACGCCAAAATCCACTCCCGACCCCAAAACCTGAACTCCATCCGCAGAAAGTGATGCTTTGCATTTGGTGGGACATTAAAGGAGTAATTCATTTCGAGCTCCTCAATCCACAGCTAACTGTCAATGCAGAGATCTATAGTCAGCAACTGGAACGTTTAAATCAAGTCTTTCATCAGAAACGCCCTTCACTCGTCAATCGTAAAGGTGTTCTTCTCCACGGCGATGTACGTCCACATGTGGTACGTTTGACGCAACACAAGATTATGGAGTTGGGTTGGGAAGTTCTCCCCCACCCACTATATTCTCCAGATATGGTACTATCAGATTACCATATTTTTCATTCGTAAACGTATGCAAATGTGGTAGGTGTTAAAGAGGACATCGACATGTTTTTTGCTTCAAAACCAAGTGATTTCTTTAATTAGGGCATTAACAACCTGATTGTAAGATGGAAAAGCATCATCGATAAGAATGGAGACTATTTAGTTTACTAAATGTTTTGTTTTGATATACAAGTTATTCTGTTTTTTTCATCTAAAAAAAAAGCGACATTAATTTCTTGACGACCTAATAAAAAAGCCAGTGCGTTTTGGTAACACTACTTTCCAACAGTGGCTTTTATGTCATGTTGATTAGCAACAAAAATATAACCTAATTGTGTTGCTAGTTCAAGTAATAAAATAATTGCGTAGGCGAGGAAGTAGCAAAATAAAAAATAGAATATAAAGTAGTGGTGAAAAACTCGCTAAGTTGAAATAACTTTATTAATAAAACAAGAAAACGACGTTTCGGACAACAGTCCTTCACCAGGTTACCAGTGACAATGAAATTGATAACATAATGGTTAGGTTGAAAGAACAAATAACATGTTTCTCGAAGGCTCGAGAAAATGTTGCTGAAGTACAAATTTGTTTGTTTGTAATTAAGTACAAAGCTACACAATGGACTATCTGTGCTCTGCCCACCACGGGTATCGAAACCCGGATTCTAGCGTTGTGAATCCGCAGACATACCGCTGTGCCACTGGGGGGCAATAATAATAAAAGTATACAAATTGCAGAAATAAAGTTAATCGTAGTAAATAAACCAAATAAAAAAAAAGGAAACATAGAACAAGAATACAGGAAACAATGTAAGAAAATGAACGAACACGTGAATCAGGTAATAATCAGTTTCACTTCAGTGGTAACCTGATGAAGAGCTGTTGCCCGAAACGTCGTTTTCTTGTTTTATTAATAAAGTTATTTTACTTTGGCGAGTTTTTTACCACTACTTTATAATCTAATATTGTTGGTAATCTATGTACAGAACGTATACAATGAATTGTATGGACAACAAAACTGGAAAAATATTTGTTGATTTCTTAACTTAGAGTCTCCGTTGATTAAAGAGGTTTGTTTTTTATTAAAAACGTTGGTGATATAACAGAAAATAACTTAATTCAGAAACGATTTAAGTTTAAAATTGAATCGATATTTTTACTTTCATGATACATTTTATGCACTTGGCTCAAGGCTAGGTGATCCCACACTACGTCTTTACTTTAGGCTTATTATACCAACACTCACTACACTTATAAGGCTTCACGACACCACCCTCGTCACTAAATTCGTAATGGGCAGACAACAATCGAAGTATTCTATCTGGATAAATGCATTTTGGCTTTTATGACTCCTCCTATTTCTAGAAATCAAGCGTTACGCGACACACATTGGCTTTTATATAGGTTAAACAACACATGGTTTTATATGTAAATACTCAGATTTGTTATAACACAGGCGTCAATGCGGAAGATTTTAACAAATCGCTTTCATGTTTTATGATACAATTAGAGGTATAAATATCATTCAGTTATATTACGCTACACATTATAAAAAACCAAGGGTCTAAGGACAAGGTATTTTTTGTGTTAATTTAGAAAAACGTTATTGATCTTTTGCTCTACGTTAATTGTATCAATTTTTGTGGTCGTATCAACTCCATGTGCCAGAAGTATATCTATTCCATTTAAACTATGAACAATAGTTCAAATTTTCCTTTCTGAAGGACCGGATATCTGGAAATAATAATTGTTTATAATTCCTACCTGATGTGGGTTGCTTCTCGTGAACGTAGCCTGGTGACCAACACTCGAATTATGTTAATTAAAAAGACAAAATTCACCTGTAGATAAAAAAATAGAAAAGAAATTTAAATCCTGATTTGCTATCATGTACATTTAAAATATACATTTTTAAAAAATCTACACAAAGTTTGAGATAAAGTAAACTACGTTTATCACAAAAACAAACCCAAACAGGGTGCAAAGAAAACACAAAGCACTTACCATGTTTTCAAATCTGTAACATGCGAGTAGCACCCCACCGCCCCACAGTGGCCCAGCGGTATGTCTGCGGAATTACAACGCTAGAAACCGGGTTTCGATACCTAGGGTGGGCAGAGAACTAACATCCCATTGTGTACCTTTGGGCTTAACTTCAAACAAACAAAAACACAGCACCCCACTTCTCGACGGTGGCTCAGCGGTAAGCCTGAGGGCTTATAATGTTAAACATCGGGTTGCTGTACCCGCAGAAGACACAGAAAGATAGCCCATTCTGTAGCTTTGTGCTTAACAACAAACAAAAACATGCGAGTATTTTTATGCGAATAGTAAGAAAAAAAATAAAGCTGGTTAGTTGACAAGAAGGATTCCTTTTACTTGCTAATCTCATTGACCATAAACGTAAGAACATATTCTAAAATCCTAGCTAAAATTTAATTTTTTTAATGTAACACTTGAAAGATGTAGAGCTGTTTTAAAAACTAGGTAATATTTTATTATACATGTTCACAATTTTTACTCCTACAATTTATTATTATTAATACTAAATTTACATATATATATATACAAAATACAATAAATATTCAACAAAGAACAAGAAGACTTATTGATAGAGTACATTCTTTTTGTCACTTGGGCTATCTTATAGTCCCAAGAATTTGAAACTATTTATCCCTCGTTGTCGGATAAAACTCAAGTTTTAGATATATATGGCTTTTCTATAAACGTCAGGATAGCTGTAATAGCGAAACATTGAGCTAATAAAGTTACATTCTGGATATATAGGTCGAGATTTTACTTACGTTTATAGAAATGTCTCATAATAAACTCCAGTTTGTGTTAAGCAATGTTAAGACTAATAAATGTGACTTTTGTCTTAATTAGAGTTTAGAGCTTGTAGTCCAATGTCTAAAATACCGAAGAAGACGTTTGGGACCAATGGTTAGTTTACTTATTTGTCTCCCTAGAAAAGTTTCGTTATGATAAAGATGTAAAAATAAAACATCAAACGGTTGTATACTCAAGCACGAAAACTTCGAAGCTGAACTCATACCACTAATCAGGAAAGCTATTAAATCAGCAAACTCGAAAACGTGAAGATACGAAGAAACAGGGCACGTGGTGGAAGTTATTGAGACGCAGCACGTGATAAGGAGTACACCTTTAACTATTCTTACAAAAACTTGTTAAACATCGCTATCATTATATATATTATCGACTTCAGTTTACTTTACTATGACATTTTCTGAGTAGTACAAAACTTTATACAGTGAAGTAAACAAAAGTAAAATCACCTGTTGTTGTCGTTTTCTTATCCAGCTAATAGAAAAACAAAACAACTTGATTTGAGGAATACATGTAATTAGTAGATTCAGATACACGCCAATACACATCAGCCCGGCACGGTCTGGTGGTTAGGGCGCTCCACTTGCAATCTGAGGGTTGCGGGTTCGAATTCCCGTCACACAAAACATGGTCGCCCTTTCAGCCGTGGGGGCGTTATAACGTGCGATCAATCCCACTATTCCTTGGTAAAAAGAGTAGCCCAAGAGTTGGCGGTGGGTGGTGATGACTAGCTGCCTTCCCTCTAGCTAACACTGCTAAATTAGGGACGCCCAGCGCAGATAGCCCTCGTGTAGCTTTGCGCGAAATCCATAACAAACCAATACACATTTATTAAATGCAAAAATACGGTTTACCTTCGTGAAATGTAGAGCGCCAACTAGGAACAAAGTGCATCTAATTACAATTCATGTAAAGAAGTGAGCCGAAGAAAAGGTAGATCATTATTAGAGTATTCCCACATAACGGTACAGTTGTGTAAAGTTTTTACCACCAAAGGACATGCTAGGATGTTAAGAAATGCACTGTTAATCTATGAAAAATCGGTCACCCATTTTTTTTTTTTTTTTGTTCTGGAAATGTTAAAGGAAATCTGTCACAAATCTCAAGTCCACGTGCATCTCATTCATCGGGTTTAAAAAGGACAGACGCTTGATTCCTATTTGTAAATGTGGAAAATATTTTGAGAGCTCGAACGATAAACTTACATTTAAAAACAAATTATAGCTGTCAACTGTTAATAAAAAAAAAGCTTTGAATATGTAGATATACACTGAAATTGGAAAAAGACTGTACTTAGTTCTCAAGAATATTGAAAAAAAAAAGAGTTTTGAAGACATTAAAACTACACAGTTATCGCATTGTGATGTAATGTTGAAGTGTTCAAATAACCTTTTCCTAAAATGGTTTGAGCCGCGATATGACACTGAACACATACAGTGTCGTACTGGTGGAGGTTGTTGCTAACTGGTTTCTGTTCCTACGTTATACAGCTCTAGATATTCCGTTAACAGTAGTCGTACTGGTGGAGGTTGCTGCTAACTGGTTTCTGTTACTACGTTATACAACTCTAGATATTCCGTTAACAGTAGCCTTACTAGTGGAGGTTGTTGTTAACTAGTTTCTGTTCTACGTTATACAGCTCTAGATATTCCCGTTAACAGTAGCCGTACTGGTGGAGGTTGTTGCTAATTGGTTTCTGTTACTACGTTATACAGCTCTAGATATTCCGTTAACAGTAGCCGTACTGGTGGAGGTTGTTGCTAACTGGTTTCTGTTCCTACGTTATAAGGATGACTTTGCTTGTACCTAGTTTTGGCCCATGTGTTGGATAAGATGCCATTCGGGCTGAAAATACTCAGGTCTAAGTCACTAAGGGCATAAAATCCCATTACATATATATAAAAGTAAGAAAAAGTAATAGTCCAGTCATACAGTGAACAGGATTATTTGAGATCTACCACTAATCATCAATAAGTAAACTAGAACAATGTGCACCCATTTTTGTCAAAGGAATTTCGGTAAAACTGAAAAAAAAAAATTGATCAGTGAGTATCGCCGAAACTACCTTAAGCTACCTATAGAACCATGGAACTTTACTTGAGTGATTAATGAGGGCATTAATCCAAACATGTTTTCGTTAAAAGTTTATAAAAGTTGTTTGGTGCTCATGTAGATCTGACAGACATCTTTGAAAGGGCTCTTCTATTAAGCAGAATTACTGAAACGCATTCATTTATTGGCGATCTAAGAACAAGCAGCTTTGACGTGCTTATGTTCGTACATCATACTGCATGGGACGAATATATTAAATAAAAAAAATTATTGGAACACATGACACGTGGTAAAGGAAAACATTTTGAAACGCCTTTAAAGTCAATGGTTTGAGTCTTGTTGTACAAAAATAATCATTCCTTTATATATCTAAGTAATCTTAATTAATCTACAGTAATTTAGAGACGACATTTTGATTGTTTGTTTTGAATTTCGCGCAAAGCTACACGAGGGCTATCTGCGCTAACCGTCCCTAATTTAGCAGTGT